TCAGACATCATTTACAAATGAAGCGTGTATGTTTAGTGAGTCCGCCAGATCAGAGGCTGTAGGGATAACCAGGGATGTTCTACTGATAAGTGCATGAATTGGACCATTTTCCTGTCCTGCTAAGCATTTAAAATGTAACGAGTAATTTTGTGTGTCGGGGAAAGTACATACTTCACTACATACATAAAAGTACAAGTTGTCAAAAATATAAATGGTGAAGTACAGATACAGTGCATTCAGAAGGTATCCAGACCCCTTGAATTTTTCCACATTTTGTTACGTTACAGCCTTATTCTAAAATTGATTAAATACATGTTTTTCCTCATCAATCTACACACAATACCCCATAATGACAAAGCAAAAACAGGTTTTTAGACATTTTTGCAAATATATTAAAAATAAAAAACTGAAATACCTTATTTACATAAGTATTCAGACCCTTTGCTATGAGACTCGAAATTGAGCTCAGGTGCATCCTGTTTCCATTGATCATCCTTGAGATGTTTTTATAACTTGATTGGAGTCCACCTGTGGTAAATTCAATTGATTGGACAGGATTTGGGAAGGCACACACCTGTCTATATAAGGTCCCTCAGTTGACAGTGTGTGTTAGAGCAAAAAACAAGCCAAGAGGTTGAAGGAATTGTCCGTAGAGCTCCGAGACAGGATTGTGTCGAGGCACAGATCTGGGGAAGGGTACCAAAACATATCTGCAGCATTGAAGGTCCCCAAGAACACAGTGGCTTCCATCATTCTTAAATGGAAGAAGTTTGGAACCACCAAGACTCTTCCTAGAGCTGCCCGCCTGGCCAAACTGAGCAATCGAGGGAAAAGGGCCTTGGTCAGGGAGGTGACCAAGAACCCGATGGTCACTCTGACAGAGCTCCAGAGTTCCTCTGTGGAGATGGGAGAACCTTCCAGAAGGACAACCATCTCTGCAGCACTCCACCAATCAGGCCTTTATGGTAGAGTGGCCAGTAAAAGTAAAAGGCACATGACAGCCCGCCTAAAGACTCTCAGACCATGAGAAACAAGATAATCTGGTCTGATGAAACCAAGATGTAACTCTTTGGCCTGAATGCCAAGTGTCACGTCTGGAGGAAACCTGGCACCATCCCTACGGTGAAGCATGGTGGTGGCAGCATCATGCTGTGGGGATGTTTTTCAGCAGCAGGGACTGGGAGACTACTCAGGATCGAGGGAAAGATGAACGGAGCAAAGTGCAGAGATCCTTGATGAAAATCTGCTCCAGAGCACTCAGGACCTCAGACTGGGGCAAAGGTTCACCTTCCAACAGGACAACGACCCTAAGCACACAGCCAAGACAACGCAGGAGTGGCTTCAGGACAAGTCTCTGAATGTCCTTGAGTCGCCCAGCCAGAGCCCGGACTTGAACCCGATCGAACATCTCTGGAGAAACCTGAAAATAGCTGTGCAGCGACACTCCCCATCCAACCTGACAGAGCTTGAGAGGATCTGCAGAGAAGAATGGGAGAAACTCCCCAAATACAGGTGTGCCAAGCTTGTAGCGTCATAACCAAGAAGACTCTGTAATTGATGAAGGGGGAAAAACAATTTAATCAATTTTAGAATAAGGCTGTAATGTAACAAAATGTGGAAAACGTCAAGGGGTCTGAATACTTTCCGAATGCACTGTACCCTCCAAAAAACAACTTAAGTACTTTACACCACTTAATCATTTAATTGATAGGCTATATTATAACTTCAGTTTATTGTTGTTGTAGCCTTGTGTTATTATGCAATTATTAACGTTTAGTTATTGAAATTGGAAGTTATCAGTTCTATCTACATTTTTTAAATATTTTTTTTATAGAATGCAGGTAACAGTCAGTCAGATTAGGCTACAGGTAAAGAAAACACTGGCTGTTGTTGACAAGCATAAACCTAGTCAGTTCATATCCATATTATTAATATTTGATTCAGTGATTGAAATTATGACCCCATTCCAGCAGGCTATTGGGCAACGGAAGCACTTCTTACCTCGAAATCGCCTCGCTATTCATGTTGAATAAATTAGTCTGTCAATTTGAACTAAGCAAGCTGCTAAATCATTCATCTTATATCTTGCCTAGGCTACTGTAGGCTATCTGACATGAGATGTAGGCCTATCAGGCGCTATAGGCTACCTGCATCTAGCTAACCAAACCATAGCAAAGTTGAATTACAATCATAAACCCAGATTTTTGTCAGTAGGCCTAGCCTATGCCTATGTCAATCTCGCAGATAGGCCATTTATAACGGTTTGTAGTCTTAACATCTGGCACATAATAATGGCACAATTGCCAGAAAATAGTCTTACATTTGTTTTTTGAAGTTTAATAAGGGCAAATTATATTTTCTCTTGCGACATATTCAAATTCCTTATTAGTCACACCAGCTCCCAAGAATGATTATTTTGATGGAAAACCGAATTCTCCTTCTTAGGTCGTTAGAAGTTAAGTCGATATCCCTTCTTATTTCACTCGATAATGTTATTGAAAAAAGTTTTATTGGCTAAATGTGGCAACTCCTCTCTTGCTGCGAAATAAACATTTAGGATAGATTTCAAGGCCTTGTGGGCGGGTTTTGAGTAGTCATTGGGCTAGAAATTTAGCTAGACCTGGCAACTATGGCAAACCAGACGGGGTTGGCTTAGATTGTTGACATGTAAACTATATTTCGTTTCCAATGTTTATTAAAAACATAAATACATTTGCACAATGAGCACTTGTTGTCTCTCAAATACTTTGTTACAGTTGTTGTTTAGCTAGTTAGCGAATTTGAGCCATATTAGCATTGACATGAAATCAGTCAAAACACCTAAAAACAAGACATGTTATAAAGAACAAGATGAAACGAGCCACTTACAATTCCCCACATGGCCGTTTCTTGTCATTCTTGCTAGCAATCTGGCCACCCAGAATCACAATAGCTGACTTCTGCCCAATGGAAGCTCGCACATCATGACGTTGTCAGCTAAGCCGTCTATAGGCTTACAATTTGTCAAGCACAAATGACTATCTCACAATTTCAACCATAGTTTGTTAATGAGTATAAAAATATTTAATTGATGGTTAAAGTAATTGACCCATTGTCAAATGCACCGTTAAATGATTTAACAATTTAAAGTTATTGAGGTGAACCGTTTGTGAACCCGTTTTTGCCAATGGGCCTGGGCATCATTTTTACATTATTATTATTTATTTTTTTACATTTTAGTCATTTAGCAGACGCTCTTATCCAGAGCGACTTACAGTTAGTGAGTGCATACATTTATTTTATTTTTCATACTGGCCCCCCGTGGGAATCGAACCCACAACCCTACCAACTACCAACTGAGCTACATCCCTGCCGGCCATTCCCTCCCCTGGACGAAGCAGGGCCAATTGTGCGCCGCCCCATGTGGCAACTCCTCTCTTGCTGCGAAAGAAACATTTAGGATAGATTTCAAGATCTGGCATCAGACTCCAGATCTTTATTGCAGAGTTATGTCAATGAGGTGGTCGGTTTTCAATTGGCTTACGCTTATCACATGGTTTGTGCAGGCTGAAAAATTGTGCGTTTGGATGCTATCGGAAACTTTTAAGATTTGTAACAAGCATTCATTGTTACACCCCTGTAATTACAGACTGCAATTACCACCAGTTACATTTTGTTATTACAGTGCAACTATGAATTCTTACAATTAATTACAATACTTGTTACAATGTAATTACTAGGGGTGTAACGATTCGTTTTAACAACGATTCGATTTGTATCACGATTCGTGGTTGTCGATACGATTCAAGGACGATATTGGTTCATTTAGAACGATACGATACGAAACGATTCAGTGACTTGAAATCGATTCAGTAACCTTTTAGCCAAAAATTCAACCAGTGTGACTGAAATAAATACCTGGATACTGGACAGTGCAGGTGAAGTTTCCTAGATTCCTGTTTCTTGTAAGGACCGCAATGGTGGCTTGATAATTTCTCGCTCGTCGGCTTCTCCTCTGTCGTCCGCCATGCTATGTTTTGTTGTCTTTGCGCCTTTGCGCTGGTGCTGGCGCGGGGCGATGACGTCACGGATAGGCAGACTGAATCGAGTAATGTTTAAAGCCTTTATCATTAAAAGTGCTAAGAAAAAACATCCATATAAAGTCTGACGTGCTTAAATCCAATGGGTTATTTCCTAGTATCGATACAATCGATTTATTACATTTTAAAACGATGTTAGATTGATATATGTTGTCCAAAAGGCCAACTCACCGAGCACAGATCGATGTAGTTGGATCATAGGAATATAAATCGATACATCGATGTAGTAGATGGATCGTTACACCCCTAGTAATTACATATGTAATTACACTATAATAAGGACCCCTTAAAATGAAGTGTTACCAGAATTTCCATAATATTGTGGGCAGGCTAACTGTGGCGCTACACACAAACTACTACCATAATTCAGTTAAATCATTCCTGAAAAAATGTTTTAGATCATTCTCTTTTGCGTTACTTGTTTACTTTCATATTTGTCTCATTATTTTGAGATGCAAAGGGAAACGGCAAGCCAAGCTGTTGAGCAGAGCACTTATAGTCAGAAGAAGAAAGAAAAGGACTTGAATTTAGCACAGGCCAGTGGATCTGTGGATCTCCCAGCATGAGATACGACAGCCAGCTGAACTGTGTAGCTGCTGCATAACTGGGCTCAGAGGGAATAGCAGGCGACAGCAGCCTGAGGGGGTGGGCTGCACAGGGGCTTGTACAAATGATTTATACACCAGATGACTGATAGGGGGGTACTGTGTTGAAGCCACCGTGCCTCTATCTTGGCACTCCCCCACCGTTATAAAAAACCCGGTGGCTTCAAAGCCTCTCAATGGCCAATACATAGCATCAGCAATCCAGTGTTTTTATACATCATTGTCTTGTACTCACAGTTCTCTGCCGCTGTTGTTCTTTGATCCTTTTCCTCAGTCTGAAGAACTCTCTGTGCTGCCGTGAAACAAAGTTTACTGCTGCATACTCCAGCAGTGCAGCGAACACAAAAAGAAGACACACAGCCATCCAGATATCGATGGCCTTCACATAAGACACCTACACAACCCACAAAATAAATGAATACAGTTTAGAATCACAACTTCAACATGCAGGTAAACAACACGGTGATGGTGCTCTTAGTACAGGAACGTTCCCACCACTGAAATATTGTGTGATGATTAGATATTAAGTATAGAACTGGTAACTGGCAGTTTCTGAATTAAAGTATATTTTTTATACATTTGTATTGACTATGTTGGTTGTCCAGACAGAACACCTGAGCAGAATAAAATATAATTGATCTATGACCTTAGGCAGGGATGCCCTGGACCCAGAGCTTTGGGTTGTCATGGTGAGCACTGTGGTGATACCAAGGCCCACTCTAGCCGGGGCGGCGTCCATGTTGATCCAGAAGGAGACCCAGGAGAGGATGACTGTTAGCAGGCTGGGGATGTACATCTGGATCAGGTAGTAGCCCATCTGTCTCTCCAGGTGGAACTTTACCTCGATGCAGGCAAATTTACCTGCCAGCATGCCAGATGGTTGGAGATGAAGACATTTTCATTAAGCAAAGTGTGGCAATAACATACCATTGAGAGTCCAGAATCTACCTGTGTTGTAGTGCTTGGTGCAGTAGCCCAAGTCTTTCTCCTCTTTCAACACAAACTGAGGAAGCATCAGGTCATCTGCCACCTGGACAGGACCAATGTCCAGCCACTGGAAACACAGGTCATTCATGGTGTAGCCAACTAGAGCACAGAGGAGAAGAAGGGTTTATTTGATTCATGGTAAAGCCAGCGACAGAGGGAGTTTATTTATAAAGTTGTCAACAGCAAAAGCCTGTCTAGTCAATTGTAGAGAATGGGGAAAAAGAGGCACCAGGGAGTGAAACTAGCCGAGTGCAAAGAATAGATAAAAAGAGGGAAAAGAAAACTCACAGCTTTCCAGCTGCATAGAGCACGTCTGAATGTCCATGGGGAAATTCATCAGATCCATGGGGCAGGACAGGATCAGAGTTAACCTGGCTCACAGAACCAGAAGCACATAGTGAGAAGATGAATAGAAGACAGGTATGAGGAGCTTTGTACACTCTAACATTACCTGTGGCTTCAAATTGAGTGAAGAAAGTCAAATATGTGAACTATTGATAATTATTGTTACTGAACACTACTCTTTTAGAGACACATGTCACCTGATACTGTAGAGGACATTCCCATTTTGGAATATCCGCAGCAGTTTGTTGTCTGTGGTGACTTCGTGAAAGTTTGCCCCCTTTTCATTGGCAAAGAAAAGGTCAGGTTTCCAGATGGAGTCCAACATGGAAGGATCCAGGTCCAGAGAGTCATCAGGGTACTCCTTATAGGCCAGTCGCGGGTCGTTCCATTGTTGACGTAGAAACACATTGAGACGATAATCCTATGGTAGTTATAGTATAAAAGAGACTATTAAAGGGAGCGAACAGCCACTGTTTGAATGAAAGGTGGATGATGATAGTGAAAAGACCCTCACCATTGTGGTTTCTGTGATGGAACCAAAGCTGTTGATGAAGAGGTTAATGGTGACATTCACAGGAGGACCTGAAAAATCGTCCATGACAAACTCAGCCATTCATATGTAATATATCTGTAATATAAATATAAATTCCATGTTTCACTGCATGCTGCTTTCTGAAACAGGCAGTGTTCTTTGCTTCAAATGCACAGTAAAATGCATTACTTATACACTACTGGTCAAACATTTTAGAACACCTACTCATTCAAGGGTTTTTCTTTATTTTTAAAATGTTGTACATTGTAGAATAATAGTTAAGACATCAAAACTATGAAATAACACATATGGAATCATGTAGTAAACAAAAGAGTGTTAAACAAATGAAAATATATTTGAGATTTGAGATTCTTCAAATAGCCACCCTTTGCCTTGATGACAGCTTTGCACACTCTTGGCATTTTCTCAACCAGCTTCATGAGGTAGTCACCTGGAATGCATTTCAATTAACAGGTGTGCCTTCTTAAAAGTCAATTTGTGGAATTTCTTTCCTTCTTAATGCATTTGAGCCAATCAGTTGTGTTGTGACAATGTGTGTGTGTGTGTGTGTGTGTGGGGGGGGGGTAAACAGAAGATAGCACTATTTGGTAAAAGACCAAGTCCATATTATGGCAAGAACAGCTCAAATAAGCAAAGAGAATCGACAGTCCATCATTACTTTAAGACATGTAGGTCAGTCAATACGAAACATTTCAAGAACTTTGAAAGTTTCTTCAAGTGCAGTCGCAAAAATCATCAAGCGCTATGATGAAACTGGCTCTCATGAGGACCGCCACAGGAATGGAAGACCAGAGTTACCTCTGCTGCAGAGGATAAGTTCATTAGGGTTACCAGCCTCAGAAATTGCAGCCCAAATCAATGCTTCACAGAGTTCAAGTAACAGACACATCTCAACATCAACTGTTCAGAGGGGACTGTGTGAATGAGGCCTTCATGGTCGAATTGCTGCAAATAAACCTCTACTAAAGGACACCAATAAGAAGAAGAGACCTGCTTGGGCCAAGAAACACGAACATTAGACCTTCCGGAGACACTTGAAACCCCACCTCTTTAAGGAATACCTTGGATAGGATAAAGTAATCCTTCTACCCCCTCTTACCCCACCCCCCCAAAAAAATAAAAAAATATTGTGAAGTGGTTATCCCACTGGCTATAAGGTGAATGCACCAATTTGTAAGTCGCTCTGGATAAGAGCGTCTGCTAAATGATGTAAATGTAATGTAAATGTCTTTGTGAGACGCGTTGTGGGTGAACGGATGATCTCCACATGTGTATTTCACACCGTAAAGCATGGAGGAGGAGGTGTTATGGTGTGGGGGAGCTTTGTTGGTGACACTGTCTGTGATTTATTTAGAATTCAAGGCACACTTAACCAGCATGGCTACCACAGCATTCTGCAGCGATACACCATCCCATCTGGTTTGGGTTTAGTGGGACTATCATTTGTTTTTCAACAGGACAATGACCCAACACACCTCCAGGCTGTGTAAGGGCTATTTTACCAAGAAGGAGAGTGATGGAGTGCTGCATCAGATGACCTGGCCTCCACAATCCCCAGAGCTCAACCCAATTGAGATGGTTTGGGATGAGTCGGACTGCACAGTGAAGGAAAAGCAGCCAACAAGTACTCAGCATATGTGGAAACTCCATCAAGACTGTTGGAAAAGCATTCCAGGTGATGCTGGTTGAGAGAATGCCAAGAGTGTGCAAAGCTGTCATCAAGGCAAAGGGTGGCTATTTGAAGAATCTTAAATATAAAATATATTTTGATTTGTGTAACACTTTTTTGGTTACTACACGATTCCATATGTGTTATTTCATAGTTTTGATATCTTCACTATTATTCTACAATGTAGAAAATAGTAAAAATAAAGAAAAACCCTTGAATGAGTAGGTGTTCTAAAACTTTTGACTGGTAATGTACATGTTCATTCATACATGAAAAAAATTCAGGTCTACAGTATCTACATTGCAATGACATGAGGATTGTATTGTCTACCAGTGCATAATGGAATAACAGCTCTCTTACATTCATAATGTGGCAAGTTGTCTTGTATTAGATTGAGCCACACAAACAGACAGAATAAAATGGTGTTGTCATTTCCAATACACCCATTAGTATATTGCATCTCTCAACTACTGACATCCTACATTTTTCATAATATAATTTCCTAAGAGGGTATAATTTATTGATTCTACTTGAGTTACATGAGTGTATTTATAGACATCAGCAGGGAGTTACCCTGCAAGGCATGTACTGGCATATTTCAGTGATGTGGAGCAAGTATGAAATATATATGACGAGATGTGACCCCTGAGAAATGAAGAGGAAGTATGTCAGAGGGAATCTGCTTGCTTCGCTGGCTGTGAAGAAACAAAATAAACTAGGCCTGTGGGTGAACATGCATGCAAAATGACACGTTTCTAACCAAAAACAAACACTGAGTTATTCTGGGTTCAAGTATCACAATAAATAGAAAGTGGAAGTCTTTCTGATTCATGTCACATTGTGTCTTAGATTTATTCTGTAAAACGACTGTACCACACCCACCCACTTAGGATGTACTATACTGTAATGTGTATTACTGTGTGTGTGTATTACTGTACTGTGTAATCTACTGTACTATGTATTACAATATACCTTTGAAGTTGGGTCTAATGCGGGCGTCATACCCAGATGTCCTTCCCATAAGTTTATCCAGAAAATCAGATGGGGAAGGGGCCTTCCCTACCCTGCTAGGTAGCTTCATCTCCTTACAGGACCCAGGCCTGCCAAAGGGGAGGAGGAAACTGTGAGAGGAATGTCAGGAGTGGTATTATCTGGAACTGATGGGCAACTACTGCTTCAGATGATGGCCATGATAAAGGGATGTGATAGAGAGGATTTGATTCATACAGGTGAAGGTGAAGAGTTGCACTGTATCTCAAGTGATTTTCTGCAAAAACATTTCTCAGAAAGTATGAGGAAATAAGACATGCTCTTTGTAATTGCCATTTCTTTGTAATGAACCACATGCACTAAAGTAAAGTCGTTTTTTGTAATAAAATTGTAATATTCTTATAATTACAATTAAAAGGATGGTACTTCTGTGGGAGTGATCAGTTTTATATTATATTGAAATTAGAAAATGCAGGTCATGTAGCTTGCCCATTTATGTAGACTGTTGTATATCTCATCCAATGGACAAAATCCTATCTCCACTGTGTCTTTCCGTCTCAGCGGTTTACAAATCCTACAGTTATTGGTCATTCCTTTTACAAAATGCAATGTAAAACATGTTTAGCTCATCTCCTCAATAAAATATATACGATACATGTATTCCTTAGGCACATTTAAATAACATGAACCTTTCAAAGACCTATATTTCTCTGTAGGTAATTAGCTTAAGTTATTTTAATATAATTGGCAAAACATTGTAAATTCCCTATGGTTCAACAACTTCTCTCCCTTCAAAAGTTGCTGATCTAGATTTCTTCAGTTGATTACACATTATAAATGTACACTGAATCAACATATTAATTTTTTCTTAGTGTCCTCCCTAGTTTTACTCAAACAGCCAGAGGCATAGGCTATAATAAAACAATATGTACCTAAAGGCTTAGTAAGCCTAAGAGCAAGACAATAATTTGATGTTTCTTACCTGCCTTGGAGAAAGCAGACAGACGAAACCCATACCATCCATAGGACTAGTGAAAGCATTCTCTGCTTACAGCACTATGCATAAAATAAAATTAAAATGGATGAAGTATTCAGAGGCATATAACTCAGTGAAGAGTCTGTGAACCTATGCAGAGAGCCATGGTGTTGCTCCGCTACCCAGACAAATCCTTATGGAGCCCTCTGAGCCTCCTGCTCTCTGCAGGTGTAACATCCAAGATGATGCTTGTCTATAACTCAAGGTCTGGGGAAGTTGCTATGCGAGAGTTTGTGTGGAAGAGCACAAGCTTTATCTCTTTTTCATAGCCACATGCATGCTCCAGAAATTACATCAGGAACATTTAAAGAGACAGCAGCATTTTAGACTCTCTTTTCAGTGCGCTTTTGGCACCAAAATACTTTGAGATTTTATCTTATGATGGCTTTAGACTTTGAGCGCAGTTTGGATCCACACTCAATACATTTTCGGTGGAATATATCTGTTTTCTCCCCACAAATAAAAACACAATCATAACAGAGAACGTGGACATACATTCCCCAAATATATATTGGTAGATACATATCTACCTACATTATTAAAATAGTAATTAATTTCAATAATAATTTTTTAAAGAATTTAAAGAAAGAAAGGATTTTGAATTTGAAGTCTAGCATGAGAATTGGGATACTAAAGGCAGTCAAATGCAATAAGGGCACAAATTCAAGTACAATAAAAAACTGCAAAAGGGGAAGACATTTAGCATATTTCTTTATGAGAAATGTTAGTTGTCTCAACTAGTTAATTAAACTCTCCCTCGAAGGGTTACATTTTCTGTTCACATGTTAATTGCTTCAGTCTCTTTGGACATGTAGATAAATTACAACACCTATGGAGGAACCCCGCCCCCCCAAAAATAAAAAAGGCACTTCTGTTTTCCCACTAGCAGACTTTGCTGATAAATACTTTGAGGGAAAATGTACATGATACGATTGTGATGTGTAGTTGTATCACCTAGCTACAGTATCTTAAGATGAATGCACTAATTATAAGTCTCTCTGGATAAGAGCGTCTGATAAATTACTAAAATATAAATGTAACTCAGATTTATAGTAAAAGTCAGACATAAGGCGGCAATACATTTCAGTTTAAAAAAAATAGTAATTATGCCTACGACTACCTTAGCAACAGGGATGTTAGCTGCACATATTGTCGTAAGACCTTTCCCGCCTTCCCACAGGAAGGTGTTTAAGAGCCAGTGTCAGCGGATGGGGAAGAATCATTACAATCGTGCAGTAAGTTTTCTGCATGTAAAACCATTTCCAGTTCCATAGTGGTTAAGTAGGCCAGCCTTAATTTTAATGTGGCAGCCTTCTTTAGAGCATAACGTATTCTGCAGAGCATACTGCAGACCTACTTTTCCAGTGAGTGGTTCTGTATGATATAACCCGCACAGGTCAGGTGCCCTCTGAGCAGGACTGCCTGTTCCCAGCCACTCCAAGGATATTTACTTTAACATGGCACTTTAACTTGAGAACTCCCAGGCCAGGAAGAGTCTGTGGGAGCAGTGCAGGCAGGTTAGTAGTGATGGTTGGAATTTGGGAATGGCTCTTTTGATGAACTAAACAGTGTTTCAACATGGTGAACCACTGCACAATAGATTCCAAATGTGAGCTTGTGTCATTTAATTACCAACATTTCAACGATGTGAAACCGTGATGTCTTAATACAGTACATTTCCAAGAAAACGTGTATCAAGGTGCTAGACTATATAGTGCTAGCATTCCATATCAGAACCAGTTCCCCTAACAGAGTGGTCACATCTTTGGACATAATAATGCAAATTGTAGGATAATTTCAAAATATTTTTATTGCAGCCTTTAACATAATGAGCTGCTCTGATCACACTGAAAAACAACCTCCACGTAACAGTATGCTGTTTGTACTTTGTACACCGTCACCTGTATTCCCGGGATGGACAATTTCTCCTTGATCACAAAATGCAACATTCATACCATAGAATGATTAGACAGATAGACAGGGTGAATATTTATATTCACCATCTTCAATAGTAAAGAAAAAAACAGATGCATGTGATATAAATTACCAATGTATGAAAATATTCCAGCGACATGAAACGTACATGTACAGAGTAGATGTGTCCAGAGTCTCCCTTTTCTTTTCAAGTGCATCATCATATTAGGGTCTGCCAAAGCCTGGCAATGACTGTGAAAGTTCAAACCCTTTATGAGTAGTGACAGCATACGTCTCCCAGCATAGGCTCAGCCTCCTCAGAGTAGAGAAGACTCAGTCCTCGTGAATGTTGAAGAGCTTAGCCACTTCATTCAGATCTGCGTGTTCCTCTCCATCTTTGATGATCTGCAAAGACAAGAATGCAAAGCAAATCAGTCTATATTTAACTCTGTTTTGAACTTCACTTTAGTGACAATAAACGTTAGAACAGAGAAAATATTTATCCTCCGACATTTGTGACGGTTCTCACCTTCCTTGCGACGGGCATTCTGTTGAACACGTTCCACAGGATAATGCCCACCACCACTTTGTCTCGCAGATAGAAGATCACTCCTTTCCCATAGTCGTCCTTCTGCTGGAGTACTGGAGGGGGTGCAGGGGAAGAGGAGGCTACAGGGCTACTGGCCGTCCCCTCAGTCTCACTCTCCGAACGGATTCCAGTTCCTACAGCAATCAGAGGAAAGACGCTCAGTCTATGTCTTCAAATCAATTGTTTTGGGGGGATATTAAATATTTATTATTGATTTGTAAAGTACACAGAGGTCCTTCTGTAGAATCAGATGTTGACGGTAAATCAGTATATTGTGGAAGGTCATACCGGACTTCTCTGTGGCAGCTTTGGGGGTGTCCTTAGCAGTGGCTTTGGCAAACACTCCAACAGTTGGAAGGCTACTGTCTACTATCCCAATGGCCTCATAGCCTACATCAGGCCCCAGGTCACTCCTGTGGAACACAATAGGACATGATATACATAGTCAGGGGTCAGAGGTCAAAGGAGAGGGAATCACTGGCTGAATCTCAAATTATCCCCTTCCCTTTCCCCCGCCCCTCCATTTGCGCGTTCACACGCGCCTCTGCCATATGCGCAAGCATCCCAAAGCTGAGGGAGTGAAAATTATGGAGGGTGTAGGGGCCATTAGACCCTCCAATAGCCACTGACTGAGCCAGCTACGCTGCCGGCTTCAGAGTTAAGTGGTATCCCATAACGCACTGTGTTGTTTTTTTTAGATTGCGCAATTTCACACAAAAGAATGAAGAGGCGTGCCTAATTATGAGCCACCTGTATTTGTTTGTGTCTGATTTCGAGGCTTGACACACGCATACAAAATACCTCCCAAATTAAATGTTTCACTGTTACTGATATATATATATATATATATATATATACACATACACACAACCAGTCAAAAGTTTGGACACACCTACTCATTCAACGGTTTTTCTTTATTTGTACTATTTTTAATAGTATAATAGTGAAGACATCAAAACTATGAAATAACACATACGGAATCATGTACAGTCGTGGTCAAAAGTTGAGAATGACACAAATATTAATTTTCACAAAGTCTGCTGCCTCAGTTTTTATGATGGCAATTTGCATATACTCCAGAATGTTATGAAGAGTGATCAGATGAATTGCAAAGTCCCTCTTTGCCATGAACATGAACTTAATCCCCCAAAAACATTTCCACTGCATTTCAGTCCTGCCACAAAAGGACCAGCTGACATCATGTCAGTGATTATCTCGTTAACACAGGTGAGTGTGTTGACGAGGACAAGGCTGGAGATCACTTTGTCATGCTGATTGAGTTAGAATAACAGACTGGAAGCTTTAAAAGGAGGGTGGTGCTTGAAATCATTGTTCTTCCTCTGTTAACCATGGTTATCTGCAAGCCACTTCTCTCCAGGAAAAACATCAGGGACAGACTGATATTCTGCAAAAGGTACAGGGATTGGACTGCTGAGGACTGGGGTAAAGTCATTTTCTCTGATGAATCCCCTTTCCGATTGTTTGGGGCATCCGGAAAAAAGCTTGTCCGGAGAAGACAAGGTGAGCGCTACCATCAGTCCTGTGTCATGCCAACAGTAAAGCATCCTGAGACCATTCATGTGTGGGGTTGCTTCTCAGCCAAGGGAGTGGGCTCACTCACAATTATGCCTAAGAACACAGCCACGAATAAAGAATAGTACCAACACATCCTCCGAGAGCAACTTCTCCCAAACCATCCAAGAACAGTTTGGTGACAAACAATGCCTTTTCCAGCATGATGGAGCACCTTGCCATAAGGCAAAAGTGATAACTAAGTGGCTTGGGGAACAAAACATCGACATTTTGGGTCCATGGCCAGGAAACTCCCCAGACCTTAATCCCATTGAGAACTTGTGGTCGATCCTCAAGAGGCGGGTGGACAAACAAAAACCCACAAATTCTGACAAACTCCAAGCATTGATTATGCAAGAATGGGCTGCCATCAGTCAGGATGTGGCCCAGCAGTTAATTGACAGCATGCCAGGGCTGATTGCAGAGATCTTGAAAAAGAAGGGTCAACACTGCAAATATTGACTCTTTGCATAAACTTAATGTAATTGTCAATAAAAGCCTTTGACACTTATGGAATGCTTGTAATTATACTTCAGTATACCATAGTAACATCTGACAAAAATATCTAAAAACACTGAAGCAGCAAACTTTGTGAAGACCAATACTTGTGTCAAACTTTTGACAACTGTAGTAACCAAAAAAAAGTGTTAAAGAAATTAAAATAGATTTTATTTGAGATTCTTCAAATAGCCACCCTTTGCCTTGATGACAGCTTTGCACACTCTTGGCATTCTCTCAACCAGCTTCACCTGGAATGCTTTTCCAACAGTCTTGAAGTAGTTCCCACATATGCTGAGCACTTGTTGGCTGCTTTTCCTTCATTCTGCGGTCCGACTCATCCCAAACCATCTCAATTGGGTTGAGGTCGGGGGATTGTGGAGGCCAGGTCATCTGATGCAGCACTCCATCACTCTCCTTCTTGGTAAAATAGCCCTTACACAGCCTGGAGGTGTGTTGGGTCATTGCCCTGTTGAAAAACAAATGATAGTCCCACTAAGCCCAAACCAGATGGGATGACGTATTGCTGCAGAATGCTGTGGTAGCCATGCTGTTTAAGTGTGCCTTGAATTCTAAATAAAATCACAGACAGTGTCACCAGCAAAGCAACCCACACCATAACACATCCTCCTCCATGCTTTACGGCGGGAAATACACATCATCCGTTCACCCACACCGCGTCTCACAAAGACACGGCGGTTGGAACCAAAAATCTCCAATTTGGACTCCAGACCAAAGGACACATTTCCACCGGTCTAATGTCCATTGCTTGTGCTTCTTGGCCCAAGCAGGTCTCTTCTTATTATTGGTGTTCTTTAGTAGTGGTTTCTTTGCAGCAATTCGACCATGAAGGCCTAATTCACACAGTCCCCTCTGAACAGTTGATGTTGAGATGTGTCTGTTACTTGAACTCTGTGAAGCATTGATTTGGGCTGCAATTTCTGAGGCTGGTAACCCTAATGAACTTATCCTCTGCAGCAGAGGTAACTCTGGGTCTTCCATTCCTGTGGCGGTCCTCATGAGAGCCAGTTTCATCATAGCGCTTGATGATTTTTGCGACTGCACTTGAAGAAACTTTCAAAGTTCTTGAAATGTTCCGTATTGACTGACCTTCATGTCTTAAAGTAATGATGGACTGTCGTTTCTCTTTGCTTATTTGAGCTGTTCTTGCCATAATATGGACTTGGTCTTTTACCAAATAGGGCTATCTTCTGTATAACCCCCCTACCTTGTCACAACACAAATGATTGGCTCAAACGCATTAAGAAGGAAAGAAATTCCACAAATTAACTTTTAAGGCACACTTGTTAATTGAAATGCATTCCAGGTGACTACCTCATGAAGCTGGTTGAGAGAACGCCAAGAGTGTGCAAAGCTGTCATCAAGGCAAAGGGTGGCTATTTGAAGAATCTCAAATATAAAATATATTTTCATTTGTTTAATACTTTATTGGTTACTACATGATTCCATATGTGTTATTTCATAGTTTTGATGTCTTCACTATTATTCTACAATGTAGAAAATAGTAAAAATAAAGAAAAAACCCTTGAATGACTAGGTTTTCTAAAACTGTGTGTGTGTGTGGGGACATTTTCTATTTGAATTTCAGGCTCGTTTTATTTTACCAGGTAAGTTGACTGAGAACACATGTCATTTACAGCAACAACCTGGTGAATAGTTACAGGGGAGAGGAGGGGGGGTGAATGAGCCAATTGGAAGCTGGGGATGATTAGGACCTGAGGAAAGAGTGCCTCCTACTGGCCCTCCAAAACCCCTTCCAGCAGCATCTGGTCTCCCACCCAGGATCAACCCTGCTTAGCTTCAGAGGCAAGCCAGCAGTGGGATGCAGGGTGTATTGCTTTTGGCAAATGTTGAACATGAATTGCATCATTCAAGTCACAAGTGTGTCACGCAGCACATAACAACAGAGGGCCCTCCAAGCGAGTTGGTAGGGGCGAGGGGCTGGTTTGGGAATCACCGACTGACAACTACTGACATGGAAACTGAATAATATGACTCATACCAGAACATGGACTGATGCCAGTAGGGCTTGTTGGCTCCCGTCATGTTCTCTCCGGCTAGCCTGCCGCTCACAACTGCATGGTCATGGTGCTCCACTCGCCTGCGGCCCAGTCTGATGTCATAGAAGCACGCTGCATCACCTGCCTGTAAACAGGAGACACAAAGGATCACAACAGTGGCCTACATAGTCATGCCACATAAATGACAAGACATTTTTATAGTTTCCGTGTGCTTGAAAATGAGAGTAAAGGATGCATAACTTATGAGATGTTATCAAACTTTCAAATCGGGGAGCTCTTCTTTACGGAGAATTGACATTTCAGATTAAACTGAAATTATTAAAAGTAGTCCTTGTGCATAGAGTTTTATGGTTTGTTTAACTTTGAAATCATTGGTTTTTGTTTGACATACATTTTAAGTGAAAAATGTGAGTCTCAGCATCACTCTGTTACAGTGGAACTGCCCAGTAGCATCCAAAGAGAACCGCTTGAATTTGTTCTTACCACCCATATATTGGACCTAGCCTGCAGTTCTGCGTTGACCCGATAGCCCCCAAAGTCAGAGTCTACCTCCAGACCTGCTGACTTGGCCAGCTCTACACTGGGATCAAGCCCAACAGCTGCAACAATATGGTCCGTCTTCACCACACGACCATCCTTCAGTTTGATCTCCACTTTGCCATCTTTGTAGCTTACACCTTTTACCAACGCTTCTGTGATGACCTTCACTCCCTCTGTAAAGGCAAGAGATGAGGTTCAGTATAAATAACTTATCTTTAAAAATGTTACTTCTCTTTAACAATTTATCCATCAGGCGAGGTTGGCAATGGCTGTCTCAGTAATTTCTACAGAGTAGAAGCTCCCATATACAGTTCATTAGTGAAACAAAGATAAAGATGTGTTCCGGAGGTTTGAAAACCACCTCGTTATTTTTGTAACCTACTGTTTTTGTCAATGTATGGCATACATGCATAATAAACCATCTACATTCTAACCTGCCATCATTTAGTGCACGTGACATGCACTCGTTCATGTCATGTAGTGAACGGGCGCTCTGTAGCAAGGGGGATTGGCTGGCTACGTGACTTTAACATTAATTATTTTGATAACTGCGAAAATACATAGAATACATCGATCAAATCCATGCATCCTAAGTTAGAAAACATTTGAACATTTTAAGTTAGATCTATTAGACTTCGGTTATAATTTAATGTATCTTTCAATAGCCTACATTTCTCTGGAAGCAAGCAGAGAAATATGTGCACTACAGATGGCATTGTAGCCAGACAAATACATTAGGAGACAATTGTCAACTCGATCAGAAACACTCTCATAAATGTTGTCGCTGGTGTATTTTGTTCGAATTTTGGAATATATTGCTCAATAGACTAAGGTTTTTACCAGGCGCGAAATCATATAGTTGATACGCTAGAGAAATATATACTGCAAACTTTCACCCACTTACTTTTTAGATAAGAAAATATCGCCCTACCTTTGTTGTTTCAACCATCCATCCCAATCAAATAATCATGTCCCTCCACCTTTTGCCCTTATACGTGGACGCAGCAGGTATTCCATGATAATCCAAAACTGCAGTTGATTGCCAGCAATCACCATTCATCACGTAGACAAATACTAGTCCTATATATAATCATTACACAACTTTAAAAGGAGTAGGTAATTTGATGCAAACATATACTGTAAGTAGGTTATAACTTTTCCATTGTATAAATTACATTATCACAATCAGTGGCTTGCCATACTGGTCTGTACAACAACAGGAATTAGCCACAACAAAGCCTTGAGGGACAATGTTGATTGGCAGGTGGAATGATGTCCAATGAGGTGGCAAGGTTAAAGTGGGAGGCGGGATCAGATCGGCACAGCATTGTCCAATGAGGTTGTGGGGTGAGGCCAAGCACGTGCACAGCTCATGAACACCACACATTTTTTATTCTCTTTGTGCATACTACACAGGTTCGAGAACAATGATGTGATGACAAAGTACACAACTTTCAGGGCCAACGTTTGGCTCGTGAGCGCTACTTTCAGAACTATTGGCTAAAAAGTATAAAAAAGTACAGGAGAATCTCTTTAAGAGTTTTCCCTCCTTCTTACCACTCTTGACTTTGGCTGTTGTCCAGTTACTCAGATACTCAGGCAGCACCTTCCCCATGTTGCCCTTCTCAGGGAACATCTGGATTACCTCCAGATCAGAATCAGCAGCTGGGAGGATGGAAGATGGACAGACAGACACCTTACAAAGGGGCATTTGACTGTGGTAAGTGTTGGTTCAGTCATAGTGTCATTTCTTCCTTGATTCAGACAGTGGTCTTAACTTACATCTCCTGCCTAGGGCACAGGCCAGCTCACTCCCCAAGAACCCTCCTCCAATGATGGTGATGGATTTGGTGTACCTGGAGACCTTATCCAATGCTTTGAAATCTTCAACCTAGGGATGATAGCAAAAAAGCCTTTTCAAAAGGTGGATTCGAATGGTAAAAAAAAAAAACATACTTGCTGGCACTGTCATCTTGAATGATGGACATTATTCACTAGTTTTTCACAAAACATGAAATAAATCATGTAATTCAGGCTTGTGATGCATAAACTCCAAATAGCATCAATCGTGTGCCAGGTTATCTGATGGGACCAGCCTGAATGTAGCGTTCTATCACGTGCAAGTAAATTAACAATTTTAATTGGATGATGCGCATTTTGAGACTGAGAAACCGTTTAAAGTTTAACTTTTTCTAATGTTCGCAAGTATGGCCCCATCATGTCGTGCAGTCCCTGAAGATAACTACCATAACAGCCCCTACCTAACACTATGCTAGCTTCAGCATGTTGTTGTCAGTGGTACCAAACACCTACATCTAATTAACGCATCATCGTCTTGTGGCTACTGCCCACACTTTTCATAACATCAGATTTGAAGGCAATGTGTTTACCTTTCTAAACAGTGTAGTCCTCTTTGTCACCTCTTCTCCGGCTCTCTCAATCACTTGCAGATTCCTTGGGACTCCACCTTAAGAGAAAAGCTTCAATTAATTGCTGTTCAGTCTACGAGTCATCGCCTGTTGTGAATGTCACATCCAAGTCAGTAACTAAACTGATGCACTCGATAAACTGTATTTATCATCATGGTTTACCTGTGGCAATCAGGCACTTATCATAGGAGATCTCAGTGTTGTCACTCAGTGTCACTTTGTTTCCCCTCACATCCATGTGCACCACCTGGAGAAAATTGGGGAAGGTTTGATTTAAAAAAAAACAAAAAAACATTGGATTCTCCTTAGTAAAATACATTGAGTGAAATGGTCAGCACTCAAATGATACTGTTTGATAATGAATTCACCAATAAATCATTCACAAATAAGTTAATTATTGAAGAGTATCCTTGGGGTGCTGTCCATTGCATTCTCCAAGGTTTGATAAATCCTTTAACTAAACTGAAAAAGTATTGTTAGGAAAAAGATAGCATAAGTAATTAAATGTAAGACATTGTTCAATTGTATGGAAAATAGCTCAAGACCAGAATGCTTGCTATAAATACAAAAAGCACCAACCTTTTTCCCAGTGAGCACAGCCACTCCTCCATTCTCCACTTTCTCCAAATCCTGAGGACTGATGTAGAATGAGGGAGGCTGGAAGTAGATGCTGAAAACCAGAAATAAACATGCATTAACACAGGAATGTTGCATAAGATTGTGTCCATGAGAATGTTAAGTTGACTGTTAACAGTGTGAGCACACACACACACACACACCTCCTCTCCTTGCCGTTCCACTGTTTGAAGCGCAGGGTGTCAACCACACTGGAATCATCAGAGAACCACAGCTCCTTGGAGAGAGGAGGCCTCATGTATGGAAGGTCTGGTTCATCAGTGATAATCAATACCTGTGGACAGATATCAAAACAAAAATTTGTTTTGGTTAAGGAATTAAAAGGGACTTATCAAAGAAATCAACACAAGGTAGGACTGCCTTATTTTTCCAGACTCAAACCAGAATCGGACTACTTATCATAACACCGCTTGCTAAATTATTGGTCAATCCATAGATAAACAACAGAGAGAAGCCCACTAACCCTGGCTCCTGGGTCCCTGGCCCTGATGGAGCGTGCTGCAGCGAAGGAGGCCGTGCCTCCGCCAATCAAGAGGTAGGGGGCATGTGAGGGAAACCCTACAGGGGTGGGTGCAGGGACCTCGGCAGCTGCAATGGTTGCAGGTTCCGCAGCTGGAGCTAGGACAGCAAAGAGAGGTAAAACCATTACATGATCTGATACTGTGGACTTATTCAGAGGTAGACCCCAAGCATGCTGCATCCTGCTGTACAGCAGAAAACCTCTAGTCTAAAAACACCAGAACCATGTGTAGGAGACTATCGTTTAGTCGTACAATGACCAAATACTTCAGCACAAGTAACCTTAAAAGGGAAGAGGGATTAAAATGGTGTCAAGGAAAAACAAAAGTGAATTGTTATCCATCCATGTGAGAGCTTTATCACTTAGCATTACCAGGATCCAAACACACACCACAACAAGTAACCTTAACAGGGGAGGAGAACATTAAAATCAAGGTAACCATCAACAGTATATTAATAAATAAATAGGAGATGTGTTGCGAGTAACCATATTGTGTTAACAGGGAAAACCATAGTGCTGTGTTGTCTGTCTGCCCCCCCACTCCAGCAGAGGCTAGACTCAGGTCTTACCACTCTCTGTCTCAGTCGTAGTTTGCGGCTCTGCTGTTTCTGCAGGAGGGCTTTCTGCTACTGGTGCTGGTTCTGTTAGTATAACCAAAGCGTTAGGCAAAATCAATTTTGATCATTGAAAATATGGATTCATTTTTCCATGCACTGGTCTGAGGGCTTACCACTCTCCACAATGGGAGCAAGAGGCTCTTCTGTAACCTCTATGGGGGACGGTTCCACTGAAGGTTCTGTTTAGCACAATGGTATATTTAAAATGCAACTGCTTATTAATTTGGCTAGTAACTAGTGACTTCATTAAAAAAAACTTTATTGGCCAAAGCCCTTACCACTCAGAGCTGGAGCACTTGGCCGCTCCACTGCTTCTTCTGGGACGGATTCAGCTAAAGGTGCTGCTTCTGTTAGTATAGGTCCATAAAAAAATAGAAATTACAAACTCTTTCCATTTCCATTCAAATAAAGATTAAAACTTCTATCTTCCATGAAGTCAGATCTTACCACTTTCAACTACTGGTTCAGCAGCAGGCGTCCCTACTGATTCTTCAGGGGCTGGTTCTACCACCGGTTCAGGTGCTGTGGGTGGCAATCCATAGTCCATGATTATAGGATGAACTCCACATTAAAAACCTATGGGAGCGGAGGGCCTGCCTTCTTCATCCATGCAATCATGCCTTACCAATCTCAGCCTCTGGCGTGGCAGGAGGCTCCTCTGATTCCACTGCAGCAACGTCAGGGGACGTTTCTATGTATTTGAACAAAATTATTTAAAAAAGCTTCTTCACATCAGTGACATTAAAGAGCAAAAAATATATCTTCAACTCTTCTGGAGTCTTCACATTCTTCTGGGGGTCTACTATGATACTTACAGGCCAAGCATTGATTCGACTAAAATGGGGGTGCAATCTCTGTTAGCAGGCATGACTGTAAAGGTAAGAGGAGTGGTACAAAAATGGAATGCTTGAAAATGTGCTGCACTGGTTTCAGCTCTTCTCCATTTGATATGAAGGAGGCAGCTCAAAGGACTTTAAAGAGGAGTCAACTGTAAAGGTGAGGGTCTGCCTCCCTAAATTAACACAACCAGAACATTAAGGCAAAACATATGCAATATAACAGACACAAAATGCAGTTTCAACAATATGCAATAAAACCGAGCATCTCCATAACATCCAATAGTTATAACCGGAAATGATGCAGAATTAGGAAAGAATGTGGTATTAGTAAAGATTTTTAACTATTAAAATGATTGATACAGAAAATGTGAGACAGGAAGAGATCCATTCACAATCATGGACTTGTGGGCTAGGTATTCTGTCAACCAACGGACATCAATATGTAGCCGACAAACTCCAATGACTATGCCCCCACCAAATCAAATCAAAATGTAAATGTATTTGTCACATGCTTCGTAAACAACAGGTGTAGACTAACAGTGAAATGTTTACGGGCCCTTACCAACACTGCAGAGAGAATAAAATATAAATAATAGAAAAATAATAAGGAATAACTACACAATGAGTAACAATAACTTGGCTATATACACGGGGTACCAGTACTGAGTCGATGTGCAGGGGTACGAGGTAATTGAGGTAGATATGTACATATACAGTGGGGGAAAAAAGTATTTAGTCAGCCACCAATTGTGCAAGTTCTCCCACTTAAAAAGATGAGAGAGGCCTGTAATTTTCGTCATAGGTACACGTCAACTATGACAGACAAATTGAGAAAAAAAATTCCAGAAAATCACATTGAAGGATTTTTAATGAATTTATTTGCAAATTATGGTGGAAAATAAGTATTTGGTCACCTACAAACAAGCAAGATTTCTGGCTCTCACAGACCTGTAACTACTTCTTTAAGAGGCTCCTCTGTCCTCCACTCGTTACCTGTATTAATGGCACCTGTTTGAACTTGTTATCAGTATAAAAGACACCTGTCCACAACCTCAAACATTCACACTCCAAACTCCACTATGGCCAAGACAAAAGAGCTGTCAAAGGACACCAGAAACAAAATTGTAGATCTGCACCAGGCTGGGAAGACTGAATCTGCAATAGGTAAGCAGCTTGGTTTGAAGAAATCAACTGTGGGAGCAATTATTAGGAAATGGAAGACATACAAGACCACTGATAATCTCCCTCGATCTGGGGCTCCACGCAAGATCTCACCCCGTGGGGTCAAAATGATCACAAGAATGGTGAGCAAAAATCCCAGAACCACACAGGGGGACCTAGTGAATGACCTGCAGAGAGCTGGGACCAAAGTAACAAAGCCTACCATCAGTAACACACTACGCCGCCAGGGACTCAAATCCTGCAGTGCAAGACGTGTCCCCCTGCTTAAGCCAGTACATGTCCAGGCCTGTCTGAAGTTTGCTAGAGTGCATTTGGATGATCCAGAAGAGGATTGGGAGAATGTCAGATGAAACCAAAATATAACTTTTTGGTAAAAACTCAACTCGTCGTGTTTGGAGGACAAAGAATGCTGAGTTGCATCCAAAGAACACCATACCTACTGTGAAGCATGGGGGTGGAAACATCATGCTTTGGGGCTGTTTTTCTGCAAAGGGACCAGGACGACTGATCCGTGTAAAGGAAAGAATGAATGGGGCCATGTATCGTGAGATTTTGATTGAAAACCTCCTTCCATCAGCAAGGGCATTGAAGATGAAACGTGGCTGGGTCTTTCAGCATGACAATGATCCCAAACACACCGCCCGGGCAACGAAGGAGTGGCTTCGTAAGAAGCATTTCAAGGTCCTGGAGTGGCCTAGCCAGTCTCCAGATCTCAACCCCATAGAAAATCTTTGGAGGGAGTTGAAAGTCTGTGTTGCCCAGCGACAGCCCCAAAACATCACTGCTCTAGAGGAGATCTGCATGGAGGAATGGGCCAAAATAGCAGCAACAGTGTGTGAAAACCTTGTGAAGACTTACAGAAAACGTTTGACCTGTGTCATTGCCAACAAAGGGTATATAACAAAGTATTAAGAAACGTTTGTTATTGACCAAATACTTATTTTCCACCATAATTTGCAAATAAATTCATTAAAAATCCTTCAATGTGATTTTCTGGAATTTTTTTTCTCAATTTGTCTGTCATAGTTGACGTGTACCTATGACGAAAATTACAGGCCTCTCTCATCTTTTTAAGTGGGAGAACTTGCACAATTGGTGGCTGACTAAATACTTTTTTTCCCCACTGTAGGTAGGAATAAAGTGACTAGGCAACAGGATAAATAACCTGTCCCATCTAATTGTTACATTCAATTGTCCCATCCTAGCTATACGTTTGAAATAGTACACATTACATTCAAGGACATGGTATGGCGGGGCATGTGAGTAGAGTTCCAGAACCCGTGCTGTCACATAACAAGGTCAGATGAGTAACCTACACAGTGTACCCGGAGTTGATCCAAGTTTGAGGTTATACAGGAAAACGGCCCGTGCAACACTCGGGACATGCAGTCAGGACAGAGAGAACTAGATAGGCTAGTTCTCAGTCTCTGAACTTAAGCACCTCTATACACGCAATTCCAAGGTATCAGAGTGATGCTGAGACTTTTCACTTTAAAATGTATGCCAAACAAAACCCAGCATCACTGTTACCTCAGCATCACTCGGTTACTGTGGAATTGCCCATACACATAATGGGGTGTGAATGCTTTCGGAAGTTCAAGACATGTGACGGAGGAATATACATATATGAAAAGCTATAATCTATATATAGAACCTGGAGATAGTTCCGTTGTTTCACAGGGGGTAGGTTCCTCTGGGGGTGGGGAGCTCTCCTCCACAGCTGAAAGCGGGGCTTCACTCTCAGCTGCTATAGGCTCAGAGCCAGAACCCTGCTCAAAAACCTCCTCAAAGGTCTCTTCACGGTGAGAGATGACATGCAAAATCAACACTAGTAGCTAGAGGCCTTCTACTAGGGCTGAGACGATACCAGTATCGCGATACTCGTTAATATCGTTGCAAGGAAACAAAACACGAAGCGGATTTCACTTCTTTGGAAAACAGCCCTAATGTTGCAAACAAACATCATTATGTTGTCATCCAGAGTCACATTTATTTATTTTCCAAGCTAAAGTACACAATATTTTACATACACTACCAGTCAAAAGTTTGGACACACCTACTCATTCAAGGGTTTTTCTTTATTTTTACATTGTAGAATAATAGTGAAGACATCAAAACTATGAAATAACACATGGACTCATGTAGTAACCCAAAAAGTGTTAAACAATTCCAAATATATTTTATATTTGAGATTCTTCAAATAGCCACCCTTTGCCTTGATGACAGCTTTGCACACTCTTGGCATTCTCTCAACCAGCTTCATGAGGTAGTCACCTGGAATGCATTTCAATTAACAGGTGTGCCTTCTTAAAAGTTAATTTGTGGAATTTCTGTCCTTCTTAATGTGTTTGAGCTAATCAGTTGTGTTGTGACAAGGTAGGGGTGGTATACAGAAGATAGCCCTATTTTGTAAAAGACCAAGTCCATATTATGGCAAGAACAGCTCAAATAAGCAAAGAGAAACGACAGTCCATCATTACTTTAAGACATGTAGGTCAGTCAATACGAAACATTTCAAGAACTTTGAAAGTTTCTTCAAGTGCAGTCGCAAAAATCATCAAGCGCTATGATGAAACTGGCTCTCATGAGGACCGCCACAGGAATGGAAGACCAGAGTTACCTCTGCTGCAGAGGATAAGTTCATTAGGGTTACCAGCCTCAGAAATTGCAGCCCAAATCAATGCTTCACAGAGTTCAAGTAACAGACACATCTCAACATCAACTGTTCAGAGGGGACTGTGTGAATTAGGCCTTCATGGTCGAATTGCTGCAAAGAAACCACTACTAAAGGACACCAATAAGAAGAGACCTGCTTGGGCCAAGAAACACGAGCATTAGACCGGTGTCTTTGTGAGACGCGTTGTGGGTGAACGGATTATCTCCACGTGTATTTCCCGCCGTAAAGCATGGAGGAGGAGGTGTTATGGTGTGGGGGAGCTTTGTTGGTGACACTGTCTGTGATTTATTTAGAATTCAAGGCACACTTAACCAGCATGGCTACCACAGCATTCTGCAGCGATACACCATCCCATCTGGTTTGGGTTTAGTGGGACTATCATTTGTTTTTCAACAGGACAATTACCCAACACACCTCCAGGCTGTGTAAGGGCTATTTTACCAAGAAGGAGAGTGATGGAGTGCTGCATCAGATGACCTGGCCTCCACAATCCCCCGACCTCAACCCAATTGAGATGGTTTGGGATGAGTCGGACGGCAGAGTGAAGGAAAAGCAGCCAACAAGTGCTCAGCATATGTGGGAACTACTTCAAGACTGTTGGAAAAACATTCCAGGTGAAGCTGGTTGAGAGACTGCCAAGCGTGTGCAAAGCTGTCATCAAGGCAAAGGGTGGCTATTTGAAGAATCTCAAATATAAAATATATTTTGATTTGTTTAACACTTTTTTGGTTACTACATGAGTCCATATGTGTTATTTCATAGTTTTGATGTCTTCATTATTATTCTACAATGTAGAAAATAGTAAAAAATAAAGAAAAACCCTGGAATGAGTAGGTGTGTCCAAACTTGTGACTGGTACTGTAAATTAGGTTTTTAAAGGACGAAAGCGTTCTGGTCTGCTTAGTGTTTAAATTTTTGCCATGGAAAAAATATCACAATACTGGTATCTTCCCGGCCCTACCTTCTACCGTGCTCCAACAGCTAAAAGGGCAGTATCCAAACTTAAAGGATCAAGCTCAGAAAAGCTAAAGGCAGCCTTGGCAAGTGCAGGATGGTGGACAACGGCTAGGTCAAAAAAATGTGTTAGCTTTACTCTTACCAAACAATTCACAACCTATTAATAGGCCAACAGCCAAATTAGTGCTGCATATACAGAGGTAACATTGGTGTGATTTACATTGACATTTTAGTAATAAGAGCGTCTGCTAAATGACTAAAATGTAAATGTAGTAATTTAGCAGCCGCTCTTATCCAGAGCGACTTACAGTTAGTGAGTGCATACATTTTCATACTGGCCCCCTGTGGGAAACGAACCCACAACCCTGGCGTTGCAAGCGCCATGCTCTACCAACTGAGCTACAGGGGACATGATGTCAGGGATAATGTCATAAAATAGCTTAAAAAAATTACAATAAATATTTGACCATGAAAACGTGTCAATGTAGTAGCTATGCCTCCCAAACTTAAAAGTTGGTCACAAATAAAAGAGCCAACCATCCAAATACAAAACATATCCAAACATAAGCACCCATGCCCCCTAGTGGTGTTTTTCCAGAGTTATACAATAAATATCTAAATATCGAACTAGGCCTTCATGCTTTTCATCCTAAGCAAAGTCGTCAAATAAACCTTTATTCTAGGTTTTGAACACTGGTTTATGCAATTTCTCAAAAATAGGCTCAATCCTAGAAAGAATGCACAGGGTCAAATTATCTTACTTTCATCTGGAATATCATCTGGACTATGCAACATAATTCAGCCTTTTATGATTCTCACTTGACTACCAACGTTACACCATGATGCACATTTTCAAATAAAACATAACAGAGAGAGACTATTTGTTAATGTATGGACATGAATAGGGGTTGGGGACAGGACTGTTATCTGCAAGCAACTAAAATTCTCACCTTGTGGAGTTTCAGCAGCTTGTTCGCCTGAAAGACAAGATGTACATCACAAGGCTCATTTTGTTGAAATGTAAAGACATTATAATTATAATGCAACTTCAACAGACTGCCTATGTATGTTAGGCGTCCCACATGCTCACCTGGGGCCTCTGAGGTCAGGTATGTCATTGGTTGTTCTGGGACTACCTTATTTGGTCTGGAAGCAATTTCATCAATTCGTTCCTGATATCGATCTTTGTCTCCTTTGATGGTACGGTAAGCCTGTGAAGATGCAAAACATTACACATTTAAACCTATCTGAAGGCCTCTGTCAAAAGACATGAAGCAAGAGGGCAATGACAACAGTAACTGTAACCATTCCATTGAATCAAGTCCATACATTATCACAATATCATAATAGGGTGACCCACACAGTTCTGGCCTCGCCAAAACCCACAAGACATCAAATGCAGGCCAGACTTAATACAGCACCATACAGTTTGAGGCACTGAAGACTGGTAATGGTGCCATTTGAGTTAACTAAAATGGCCATCTGCTACAAACAGGTCAATGACCAATGGTGTCCAATGTCTTTGCCTGACTTTTTAAAGCTAACCTATAGCACTAACCATGTGCACATGACAGACCATTTTCACAACAAAGCATGATTCACAGTAATAAAATCCAAATTCAAAATCCTTTTCATTCACATTTTGATTAGACAAAAGTATGTCTAAAATTGCACTGAAACTAAAGAGTGCATAACTGGGCAGGATACATATTACTTACATAAAATCCTCCCCCTACACAGGTTGCTCCCACCAGGAGGTAGTATAAGTTGTTGTCCCCTCCACTCCCTGGAGTTCCTGAGGACATGTGGGCCTGTGGAACCAGTGGCAGTCCTCTTTCATTGTTCAACACTGAAATTAATCAAGGTGTGTGTTAGGTATGCTGGGATGGAGCAAAAGCCTGTACAGGACTTAGTTGAGGACTCCTGCCATAGTGTTTTCCATGACCTCAAGTAGTACATTACCTTTGAGTGGATTTTTTTAAACATAAATAGCCTGTATGTGACAACTGATGACAAGGAACAGATTCATCTGACATGCTTAACTATCATTAGATGCCATAATGATAGCTAAGCATATCAGATGAATCGGTTCTCAATAAGACCTTATCGGCAAAGAAAACCTGACTGGCTGATGATGCATGGATCAATCATACTTTTGCCAGGCTTCCTAAAATACCTATACACCTGATGGATGATACATTTTGATATTATTATAAACAGTCTGAAAGAAACGTTATGTATTAATATGCACCTGATACTGTTACAAGTCCAGCCCACAAGTTATGTAATTTCTGCAAACATTCGAATAGCCCCCAAACTTATTTTGAAACTGTGAGATCAAAAGTTCCAAATTCACATCTACAGTAGCTCAGGTGGTTTACTAACTATACTGAACTTTTCCCTACAAAAAAACATGTAATGATGACGGTCCAATGAAATTGAGCTGACGGTGCCCACCATGTAACCACGCTGGACATGCTTTCTTGCAACGACCTTGGCGGAATACATGGGGGAGGTTTAACCACACATTTATGATTGACATGGGGAGCACGTCTGTCTACATAATGCGATAATATGTTTCTAGTTAGCTAACAGATTTTGAGACCTTCAGACAATGCTCTAGATTAGCTAGACTACTGCTAGATAATCTAACGTTAGCTAGCTATATAGCTTTTCACGCTAATTACATTTTGCTGCACTTGTATCGCGTCAACTGGCTAGATAGCCTAGCTAGCTAACATTATGAAGAATGGTTTGATTTTGGGTTGTTGTGTAACGTTACAGTGATATATATATACTTTTTTTTAAATATGTATTGCTAGCAAGCTAGCTTACACAACCTGCTACTGCACAGTCTCAGTTGAACTGGCTATCCAGGGATCAGCAAGTTGCTAGCTACTTGCCTGCTCTCCTTGCATTTTGCCGGTACACAGTTGAAGAGGCTCTGGCGAGTGGGGCTAGCTTTTTCCACATGGCTTTACACGTCCACATTGTCACACAACTATGTTGTGAATTCCCGATAGAGAAATCGCTAACTACAAGCTAGAGCTACAACACTGGACACGCTTTTGCCCAATAGTGTGAAACTGAACGCACGACATCTTCATGCGCGTGTGTTTCTTCTTCTTCGATAATGTTTAACCGCGGTTGGCATCCAATAAATGTTGCATTACTGCCACCTACTAGACTGGAGTATAACTCCATAATACTTTGCTTAAAAAAATAAAATAATACTAATACCCTACCATCTAACACTACACGCACAAAACATAAAAAATAAATCAAATAAAAACATACTCCAGTATTTAAATCTATTTAGTCCTACTTCAGCCCAACAGCCTGAAAGGATGGGACACTGCCACTTAACACACCCTGTAACTCTTTTGATGTCAAGGCTCGCACACCCTAATACCTCTCTGCAGCTGCCACCACAACCTCTATTTTCTGCGACTTACATTCCATCGCTGCAGTACAGCTGATAACCATTGCTATAAATGCCAAAAATCCAATCTTACTGAAACATATATCACTTGTTGGTTTATCCCTCTGTACAGGTACAGACCTACTACTCACACCACTCCTCTCAGGATCCCTCCCCCTTGACCCATCTTCCTCTACTTTCTTCACTGCCTCAGCATATGACAACTTATGCACTACTCTAACCCTGGAAACCTCAACCTGCCTCTCTGGCATGGGACATTTCTGATCCCTAGCCCCAAGGGCACCCCTAGAATTAACACATACCACTACTTTCCCCAATGCTACACATTCCTTTGTCTCATGCCCTTCTGCACACTTCTCACACCTAGGAACCTCATTCCTACACACTGCTGCCACATGCCCATAAGCTTGACACCTGTAACAACATAATGTATTCCGCACAAAAGCTTGTACAGGATAACTTATATATCCTAACATCACTTTGTCGGGCAAAGACTCAACATTAAAACTCAAAAGAACAGACAATGACTTCTGTTTCTCCACTCACGCCACCCTATCTGCGTTGCACCAAACGACGAGCATCACAAACACCGGGATTCTTTCCCTTCAGTTGGTCAGCTTTCACATTTACCGATATCCCAGTAATCACTCCTTTCAATGACGCCATTTTCTTGAGAGCAAAACAATTAACATATCTTGCCCCCATTCGTTTAACACAGAGCGCCTGCTCCCTCTGACCAGCAGAAACACAAACAATTATCACAAGACCACTTCTGGTTACCCTCACCGATTCCACAGCACCCAACTCTGTTTTCACCCACCCTGAAACCACAAATGGATCAGCCAAAAGGCAATGGTCCACTTTTTCCAAAAACTTCACTCCTACTGTCACAGACTCATCTTCATCCTGACCCTCGGTGCAAGTCTCAGGCTCTGAGAACTTCACCACAGCTACCACCTCCGATACTTCGCCCTCATTCACTTCCATTTCTCCTCCTGTCTTCAACTCACTCTGCTTACACTTTCTACCATTCTTCTTTAACAAACCATCTCCCATTTTTAACCGACTCAAGCTCACCCGCTTCCTCCCTCTCTCTCGTAGACCTCCTCTGCCGTAGACCTCCCTCCATTCAGTGAAAACGTTTCGGAACCCCTGGTCTAAATGGAAATAAAAGTATTATCTGAGTTTTTTCCGCCCCCACCTGCCGTGCACCGGAGTCCTCTTTGGTTGCTAGCGGGAGCAACACCGGTAGACAGTGTATGTGCAGTAATAGTGGAATGATAGTGCTTCACAGTATACAGTAACTTACCCGCCAGTGTTGTGATTGGCTGTGATATTTGCCTTTCTCTGTGTTATCTAGTGGAAATAGGGTCAAGTGACCAATGTAGAAATCGCTCTGTCATTTCCTGGTTGCTCAAATTCTACACTGTTCGCACAATTTGTGAAAAAACAAGCACTGAATAGTGTAGGGAATGATTGTACCATCTAAATTGTTGTGAAATATATTTTCAATAACAAAAAATATAGATTTTACAGCTGAATGAAGTTGGTAGTGTTAGAAATTGCATAATTCAAATCTGGTATTGGAATAAGAATCAAGAGATCTTCAATCCAAGCTTAATTTATTATATGCAAAATGTATGTATGATAAGTATGAAGGTTCGTATATACGGGTCCACTGAAATACCTCGCAGGGCACTCAGAGAACTAAACCATTGTTTACAGGTTCTTTCTCAAATACTCTGACAGAGAGTTCCCACCTCTTCTGTTGGCCAATCAGAGTAAAGGACTGAGTGTGGTTTAGACTTTACTCAGCCAATCCGTTGGCGCACGGGTTAGTCCCAACCCCTTGGCGCTCCACCCCTTGGCGCTCCACCGTTCCCAGGCATAAGTTGCTATCATAATAACCTGTAGAGTCAGCACCCAAAAGACACCCTTCCAATCTGTACTCTATGTACCTACGTTCAAGGACGGTTTCACAGACAACAAAGAGAGAATGTTCGTATCTGTAAGAAATACAAGTCTTATCTGTCCTACCCCTAACGTTCCTTACATGAATCACAGCCTGTTATGTGAAACAATTTATATCAGTATAGTACAAACCTATGCTTATCATTAATGCATCCCTTCTAAGTTATTCATCACATACAGATCCAATTATGAGAAAAATAGAATCCAACAATCCCCCTTTGACACCCTCTAGGGTGTCACTCATTAAAATACAATACAAACAAAAAGAATCACACTTTTATTAATAGACAATTATGATAATAAAAGGCCTTCAGTCCTTCCATCTACACCCAACTTGCAAACGGTTGGCTACCAGTCACCCAGGAACTTCAAACCTTCACATAAGGAAAGACAAACATTCACAATGGTTAGCTTGATTAATAAAGCATAAAACACAAACAGGGAAGTAAATTGTGGCCCCCTTTAGACACCCTCTAGAGTGTCACTCCACCAAGCCTGGTAGGTCATATCCTTAGGTCGGAGTCCGGGATTGGGCCGTATCTCACCATCTGTTGGGAAACCACCTTCTCCAATCCAAACAGAACACAAACCCCGTCCCGCTCAGCCAAAAGCATATCTAAAGCTATTCTATTCTGCCATGTCATTAAGCTAGTTGCCGCTGTCTGCTCAGCTAATCCCTTTATTGCATCACGAGTGTGGTTTATAAATCTTTTGCTGGTTATATTAAATATAATTTATCCAATCTACATTTTTATTAATTGTTGACCACCAGAAAATACTTGATTCAAACCCAGCTGCGATCTGATTGTGGATCCCATCAATATATATCCTTTCATCAAAGGATCCCGGGAGGAGGTTCTACTTTCTACATGACAACTCACCAGTCTCTGACACGTTTGATTGTTTGCGTATGTAGGTGAGTTCACAATCAGTTATCACCACACAACCATCAGATGTCAGCACGGGCCTGGTTTTGGTTCCTAAAATCCTCTGGCTGCAACAAAGAGGAGAGATTAGTCATGGTCTCTTTTAGTTGTGATATTCTCTGTGTGGGAGCAGGAGCTAAGATGCCCTACCCTGTATCCTATCTTATTAGTCCTAGAAAAACAATAAGACACCCCTGTGACTTCAAACGTAGGCAACCTAGGTCGGAATGACTTTGTTATCGGGGGAAACAGATAGTGCAAGTTACCATAAGACTCTTTCACCACATTCCCAGGTGGCTTGCATGGAGGATAAACCTGACAGAGAGTTAAAGCCTGTCAAGGGGAACGGAGTAGTTGTCAACCTTGGTTTGGCTGTCCTACAGGCATAACAGTCCTCTTTAGACCGTATACTGAATCCATTCCAACCACAGGTTAAAATCTATTTACTCCGTCTCCATCTGTACTACTTCCTTCAGGTCTATAGTTTGCACTGTCTCACTACCTCCCTCAGAGAGGTTTACTCTATAGGGTGCCCCAGTTGAAGAGGATATCTCACTTGTCAGGTCTGTAATCTGTTTTAGCATAATTCAGACTTTCAGACAGTACCTACCCTTATATGGGTCGCACTGCCATTTCTGATAATTCCCTACTTTCACAATACTACACCTGTCCCTAAACTGTGTATGGAGATTGACATATCCCCCCCCCCCCCCCCCCCCCCCCCCCCCGCTTGGTATAAGCAACTACATAGTCCCAGGATGTACATGGTGACATACATATGGTGATGTCCTTCCCTAAAGTCCCTAGTACTTCCCCTTTCCCTACGTCTAGCTGTCTCCTATGCCTTATCAACTTGTGTTAGGTTAACTACTACTTCTGGCTGATCAGGAGGGTCTGTGTGTGTTAGGAATATGGCCCCCACAATCAGACAGCTACCTACCGTCGGGAAACCTGTGAATCCCCACCCTCGCCCTGAGAACATGTCAGACGCCAGAGGCCAACCCATTGCTTCACCTTCTATCGAACTCACACAGGGATGATCAGACAGGGTAAGGGAATCTTCGTTAAGGAGCCAACCCCCGAGCCCTAGTGGTGATCGGTTCTTTCTCCTAACTCTGTGTTTGTTCGTCAGGTGTAGCTGGGTTTACCTTTTTGCAGTGAGTGACATGCACCCAGATGGATCTCTCAGCTATTCTGCTGGCAAAGGCAGTACTTGGTAGGGCCCTTCCCGCCAGGCCTGCTTCAGTCTCCTGGTTAGATAGAGTGGGTCACCTTCTCCTTTAGTTCACCTGTGGGGCACAAAACCTCTGACATACAGGTGTGGTTAATAAACTATCATACATGTTGTTGTTTTTTAAGTATTTTGTCCTCTCCTTCGTATATATTTAATATTTAATCCTACCATCTCCTACCATACCATCCATCCCATAGTATACCCAACATTACCATTATTCTAAATATTAATTCTAAATATTTCATAAATGTTAGTTATCCCAAGTGTTCATTAAGTCCTACAGTTATTATCAATTCATTCTCATAAGAAATCATATATACCCCAAACTCAGCCAAAACCTAAAAAACTCCATAAAATTCACTGTGTGTGTGCTCCTCTAAGACCTATCACCCTTGACCTGCTGAAAACCCCCCAAAATTGAAACAACAAGGCTTTATAAACATCATGCTAGGTGTGTTGTTTTTTGTTTGAAAAACCCAATTTGAAAAATAACAACCACAAATAGCCAGGCCTCAGTTAATTTGGTAGCTCACTTTTATGACCTAAA